AAAAAAAACGCGCTCAGAACGTTGTTATGTCGTTATACTGATGGAAAACTGGGAAGAAAATGATGAACGCGAAGAAATTGCGACTTTGTTGATACCATTCTTGGATATTTATTGTTCCTAGGCATTGTTTTGCCAAATTGAGACCCTTTTACTAATTTGATTTTTACAACTTATCTATTCGTATAGTTCTAACACAGTAAAAATTATAGGAATTTCGAGGCAGTGATCAGATATTTCGATGCACGACTCGCCTACATTCCGCTAGAACTCGTTCTCGGATTTTTTTGTACTCAAGTATTCAACAGATGGAATAAGCAGTACGATACCATCGGCTTCATTGATAAGTATGTAGATTTACTCTTCATTTGATCACCTGAGTTTATGCCACGAATTCATCAACTCACCTACAGTTGCACACAAAATTACATGCTAAAGACGATCCAATTATTCTGTTTTTTATTACTGAATTATTTTCGCCAGATTAATAAAGCAATCCGTCCAATTAGTGAAAAATAAATGCATGGATTTCTATAAGACGGTAGCTGTTAGAAATGCCAGATTGGAAAAAGCTTTAAATTCAACTCAAGATCCCATTCTATAAATATCAAGTGGATGTGGACTAAGCGGCACATTCTTTAATATTCAATCGGTACCAAGCATTTCACTTTATCTCTGCCATTTTAAGCATTGGCCTCATGTCTGCCTTATATGTCCGAGGACGAACTGAGCGAGCACGAATGTACAGACGAAACATTCTACGCTACTGTGAGCTAGTTCAGGTCAGTTCTCAGAGCTACTAGTTTTCTGATTTCCGATTCATGTGGATCTCGAAATATTAGGTCGTGAAGAAAGTTCTTGCGTTTTTGCGCCTCAAACTTCAAATGTACATATCTCGGCTTAAACAAAAATTCATCAGCCGAAATACAACCATTACTATCGACACACATTTGCTAACTAGAAACAAGTTAGTTTACCCCATTCGCGTAGAAGTCCGGAGATCTAAGGCGATGAAATCGCCGAATGCCGCGGCAGCATCATGTTGGGTTTTAAAGCATTTCTCCTTGAGAAAGCCGTCGAGATGTTTAAAGAAATATTATTCTGTGGGGGCAAGGTCTGGGGAATATGGTGGATGCGGGAGAGTTCCATAGCCTAGCTCCATCAATTTTCCCAGGGTAAGTTGTGCGACATGGGGCCGAACGTTGTCGTGGAGTAGAATTGGCCCCTTCCTATTCACCAGTGCCGGGCTGGAGTTTTCGATGCATTTCGTCAATCTCTTGGCAGTACTTCTCGGCTGTTACGGTTTCATCCGGATTCGTGAAGCTGTGGTGGATCAGCTCGGCTGTAGACCACCAAACCAGCACCATGACCTTCTTTCCATGCTGCTTCGGCTTGGGAAAATGTCGTAGGGCTTGATCCTTGTACAGCCACTGGCCTGATCGTCGCCGGTTGTCGCACAGAATCCTTTTCTCATCACACGTCACAATACGGTCTAGAAATGGATCGTTCCTGTTGCGCAGAAGCAAGGCGGAGGCGAGCTCGAAGCGGCGGTCTTTCTGGTGCTCAGTCAACCCTTGCGGCACCCCCTTATCGAGCTTCTTCGGCTTCCCGATCTCCTGCATGTGGGTGCCGACCGTCCTGCTGGAAACACTCAATCTCGAGCCAATATCCTTCAGCGTTGTACGTGGATTCTCTTCCACTAACGCTCTCAATTGTTCGTTGTCAACGGCCGATGGCCGCCCACTACGCTCATCATCTTCCAGGCTCTCATCGCCGGTACGGAATTTTTTAAACCACCACTGTACTGTGCGTTAATTTGTCGTACCTAGATCTAAGTCATCGTTGATATCCCGGTCCGTTTCCGTCGCACTCCTGCCCAATTTGAATTGGAAAAGAAAAATCGTGCGGATCTGTCGTTTTCCATGCT